TAATTTATTATCATTGTTAAACATTGAAAAATTTGGAACCAGCAGTTAGTGTAATGGCTAGGTTGCTGGACTCCCACTAGTCGACCGCGGTTCATGTCCTGGACCCAGTGGCTTAAAACTCACGCCGGGCGCATGTGCATGCGTGCCCAAGATCCTGAGAGGAGAATGGAGGAGAAGGGATTGCGGCGTGACCATCCCCCCTGGGGGGTGATTTCTCGCTTTCTGTCTCTCTGTCTCTGTCTGTCTGGCAATCACAAACGCCCTGTAGTGAAAACCCCTCAAAAAAAAAAAAAAAAAAAAAAAAAAGAAAGAAAAATTTATGTTCAGTTTGGGGATCTTTCAGATAATGCTGTTGTGAATATCCTTGTTGGTGATTTTAGTTGTTTTCTTGTGATAGATACCTGGACCTGTGCTGATGTGTCAAGGGGTAAGATTTGCATGGCCCTTGACATTGCCAGTTGTTTTCTGGAAAAATGGTATCCATAGAATAGAATATCCATTCTGTCTCTCTGTCTCTCTTTGTCTTTCTGGTGAGCACACGTGCCCTATAGCAAAACTTCTCCAAAAAAAAAAAAAAAAGAAAAGTCTTTCATTTGTTATTAATGATTAATGGTTAACTTTGTCACAGCTTACTATTCAGAGCTGCAGATTCACTACTTGGTATATGTATATATGCTACCTGAGTTTCTATACCTTTCTCATTCTATACAGCAGTAAAATAGCAAGGAACTAGCTAGACAACTATGCTGTGTTAAATTAGCATCTTTGTTGACATGTCATCCAGAGTTAGAAAAACAAAATGAACAAGGAAGCTAGGCAATTATGTATGTATTGAATTAGCTTAATACTGAGATTTAGAATTAGAATTAATACTTGAATTCTAAAATCGAAAGCTTATGTTGGAAAGAGTCCTTTGTAACAGTTCTCTGAGTCAGAGGGGTTTTCCCCTTAACTTCCCAGTTCCTAGCAGTACCATAAATTCAGATAAGGAAGGTACATACGATATTGTAAGAAATATAAAATGTTTTCTGCAAATAGAACCTACCTTGGCTACATGATTTTTAGAAACTACATGTCTATAATGGGAACATTTAGAAATTAAAATATTACTTTCTGAAAAATAAAATGTCCCAGAACCCTCAAACATTAGGGTGTGAAAGTTTTCCAGAATCAAAATAGAGTCATTCATGTCAACTCTAATTAATCTAAACTGAGCTGGGAAGGCCACGGAAGAAGATGCTTTCTTATGATACCTTGAATAGTTCTTGGTAATAGGAACTAAAGCTTAGAGAACTCTGTAAGAACCATAACCTTGCACAGAGACCACCACAACCTGACGTCTACAAAAACACCTGCCCAGGCTCTGTTGGTCTAAGCTTGGCTGGATTCCAGCCTTGTTATTGATCCTGGTAGCCAAGGATAATTATGCCCAAACAAAGATGGACCTCCTCTCCACACCTCCTCTCCTTGCTTGTGGTTTTTGCCTTTAAAACCTGTCCTAGTATTTTAAGACCTTGGTGAGCATGTCTGGGAGTTACGTTCATCTGGACTCTTACGTTCATCTGGACTGCCATGCTGGCTGCGGTCACTCATATTTTGGCCTAGAATAAACCATTTTTAATATTTTACAAGTTTGATTTATTTTGGTTTGCCAGGGGAGATGCCTGGATATGAGTATGTGAAGCACTTTATGCATGACAGTAAACAAGCCAACAAACAAAAAAAGTAAGTGGTGGCTATTTCCATTATCAGATAAAATAATGAAGAGTGATAATAACATCATACCATTGTCTTTTAGGCCAAGGCCTTATAGCTCTGCTCATATCTCTCTCCTCACATCCAGTCTGTGGGGTGACGGCGACAGTGAGACTATTCTGCTTGCCAACCCAAGGGTGCTAAGGCCTTGTTCTAAAATGGAATAACTACCTGAGTCCTTAAAGTGCTGTCCTGGGTCCCCCACCATGCCTCACCAGTAGGATTAGTGGCATTCCTATGCCTACATGAATCATGCACAGACTTAGGGGTCCTCCAGAGTTTGAATTGTGCTGCTCATTCTGTGGTGTATCATGCTTTTCAGTATTTTCCCTACTTCTCCCATTATGGATTCAGAATTGCTTTTGATATTTAGGAAATGGTTTATGTATAGTGAAGTTAAAATAGGCCAGTTTAACTTCTAACGATGTTAAAATTTAACCTATTTTTTTGTGGCATTTGGTTTCCAGGAACTAAGTGGATTAAACAGATTTTTCTCAATTAGCATAACTATGCATTGTTGAGGCTTTCTAAAGCAATAACTTCTTCCTCTCCATGATTTAGTTCTTACTTGGTCTGTTATACCTGACTGTTTCTGTGAAATTCTACTCTAAGCCTCCTCTTCATCCTCTCTCTTATTACATATGAGAGTGCAGATCCACCTGTAGCAAACTGCCCTATAACCAAAGGACAGAAGAATGTTTTCTGGCAACAACTACTTGCCAGATCAGCATTGTTTGAACCCCCAAGTAATGGCCTTTCCTGAGAATCCTGTGGTGTCACTCCACTGGCTTATAGTGAAGAACATTGTGATTAGCACTATACTAAACAGTTGTAATTATAGGGCTGCTGCTCAGGCTGCAGCCCTTAATGTCACAACACTCTAACTGAGAATCCATGGATGCATCTTTGCATGGATTTTCAAAGTAGGAAAGAAAAGTCATGCTTCTCCTGAGCCTATGCTTTGTTTGACTATAGACTCTTAATCTCGTTACTAGATATGTCTTTGTCCTGTTGTTCAAAAGTTCAAGATGAAATATGTGACCTTGTGCTAGAAATTGTATAGATATATTACACTTTGAACGTGTTCCACTTTCCTCTCAGTTTTGAGTTCTTTTTACATTTTTTTAAGTTATTTTATTTTTTAAATTATTTTTATGAGAGAGAGAAAGACAATCACCCTTAACAGTCACCCTCAACCATTAGCCATCTCCCTATCAGCCTTTCAGCCAGCCAGGATTATGGGCATGTGTGTACAGTCAGTGTAAGATGAACCTGCAAACTAAACCCCAGTCATCCGTATCACGTCCAGCATTGCAGAGTGATGCACTATACTGCATTAGTGCTATACTACTGTGACTGGGCCCCTCCCCTAGTTTTTAATGATATATTTTGCTTTATTCCATTTCTTTATATTTTTTATTACACTTATGGTATATTTCTCTAAAGCGCCTCAATTCTTGTTTTGAAATAAGAAAGGTCTATAAATAAGGAAATAAATTTTGCATCCACATAGTAACAATATCTCAGTATTTTGTTTTCAATCATAAAGAAAATTGAACTGGTTATGCTAATAACCTGAGAATTCAATGCATTTTTCATAAGAATACCTACCCTTAGCAGTATTGGAGAGCCAGCCAGTGTTATGATGTTTTAGGAGGCTGGATCCCATGTGCCAACTACGCGGTTTGAGTCCTGGACCCAGTGGCTTGAAAACTATGCTGGAGGGCCAGCAGATGGCATAGTGGTTAAGATGCTGGACTCCCACCTGGCCAACCAGGGTTCAAATCCTGGACTCAGTGATTTCATACTCACACCAGGCACATGTACAAGCATGCCCAAAATCCCAAGAGGAGAATGGAGAAGAAAGGATTACATTGTGGTCATCTCCCTTAGGGATGATCTCGCTTTCCATCTCAGCCTCTCTCTGGTGAGCATACATGCCCTCTAGCAAACAAAAGAAAAAAGAAAAAGAAGTACTGGAATCTGTGATTGGTCCTTGATAAATGGCCAGACTGATAGGTCTATATTTGCATTTCTTTTTCCTTTTTTTCTTTTTCTTTCCCTTTCA